TAGTCGTGCACTCAGTTGGGGTATGACTGTGCAGTATTTCTGTCAGGGATCTGATATAAAGTCTTTGCAAATCCCGGTGACTGCAAGGAATGTGAAATATTTGGTACATTTCAGTATCAAGCCTTAAAATGTGAGCAGGCTATTCCTGTGTAGGGCTTAGCACTGCTGATTTGCTTAAATTCCTAAAGAAATAGGGGTCCACTTAGCACAGCATGGAAAGTACTCAGCCTTGAGCTAGATTTAAGCCTTAAACAGGATATGTGACATATGGACTATGTCAAACACTGTGAAGATAAATGCTTCTTTGTTCTGTGTAATTTTCTCTCTTTTAAAACTTCATCCTTGTTACACTGCCTTGATTAATTTTAATATATTGTGGGAAAGCACATGTGTCTATGTGAGTGAAGGAGAGAGAATTATGTTGCCCCAAGAGAAAGCCACATGGATAGCTACGAGGCCAGCATGTCCCTAAAGAAAAAAGGGAAGTAGAAGACCCCTGAGAGATGTTAGGAGGGCTTTTTTTAAGCCTTGCCAGATCTGGTAAACAGCCTCTCAGGCAAATTTTGTTTCATAGTTGAAATCTCGCAGGCATGGAATAATGACGACTTTTTTTCTGAGAGAGGAGCAAACTGTTTGCACAAAGCTGAAAGAGGAACTGCTAACACTGGCAAAATACAAACCAAATTTGATTATGTTCTTTGTGAATTTATATGGGCAGATTAAGAAATGTGAATGCTTGTCTGACACTCTGGTTCTTCAGCCTTGGAGTCTCTCCCTGTAATTCCTATCAGTTTGTATTTTACTGCTTCAGCCCTCCTGTGTCTGCCAAGCTGTAACAACACCCTACCTCAGTTGTAGGAGACATCTGGAGTGGCATTTACCTCTTCTAACTTTGGTTGCCTTTATGTGAGCTTGTCTTCTGGACTCCTTTTGTCATCGGTGAAGAGAAATGGGTACTTGCAAGGTTTGAGACATCAGACCTGCTTCAGCTGCCTGCTTTACTAGGTGGTGAATGATACCTAAAATTTAGGCTTATGCTAGTCAGACCTACTTATAAAGTGGTTAATCAACTGTGCTATAGCAGAATGCAAAGTTATCACAGGAGTCTGAATTCCCAGTCATCTCTGTCAGTACAAGTCATGGACATGCTGCACATGCAGTCCAACACCATGCTGATCACTGCATAACCCAGAGCAGCAAAACAGAGTAAAACAAAGCAAGAATCTCTGTTAAGTGTGGGGCTGACCTTCATATTCAGCCTGGATTACTGCACCCAGCGAAGGCACTCACATGCACTGTTTGCCCAGAGGAGACAGGGATGCGATGGTCTGCATGGTCCCCAGACGTGACACAGCCTTGACACACACAGAGGGAGCCCCTGGGCTTTCTGTGCCTGGGGACTGCAACCGCCTCTCTCACTCTAGCAAGCTGCTGGGTTATCACCAGTTCTGATGAAAAGGCTCGTACAGGAACCGAGCTCCACCCAGTGTGTTTTCCCACATCCCTCCCCAGGCTAGGGTGATCATAACATTTCTCTGTAAAACACCATGTAAGACTGGAAAATTGGGGGGGTTTAACTTTAAGGCAAGCTGGATTTGCAACAACAACCTGTTTTTATCTTTCACTCCCAGCGAAGCAGTTTTCTTTACCGTCTGATTCTGGGTGCAATAAAACATAAGCTAAGTCACTGTAGGGACTGCAACCCCAAAGCATCGCCCTGTTCTCCTAGTCTTCCTATTGTTTTGCTGTGCCCTAACAAATCAGCTAGGGAGGATTTCTTACAGTGGGAATTAAGGAATTCCACTAAGATTAGTAGGAGCTGCTAAAGAGCTCAAATACAAATGATTTCCCTATCAGGACTCCAGGGAAGAAGTTGGCTTTGCTACTGATAGAAACAATAGATATTATGCAGGGTGGAAAATACTGTCAGGAGCTGCAAATTATCCTTGTGGTCCTCATATTCTGTTGCCATACCCATGTCTTCATGGAGTACAGAACTTAAGTGAGTTTTCCGGTACTAACTTCTCAGTTTTACAAAACAGCGTCCTATTGATAGATCTGACAGATACCACATACTGGATTTCAGTTTGTGCCACTGCTGCCACCGGTTTCCATTCACTGATCTCCGCTGGGCATACACTGACTTGAAACTCGACTCCTCCATTGTAATTATAAGACATGCTTTGTATCAGTAAATTATTTCTCTTTCCTTTTCATTAAAGACCAAAAAAAAATATCTAGTCTATATAGCAATCTATTGGAATGTACTTCCCTCTGATGCATTGTTACTGCAAACCACTGTTCCTGGCAGCCTGCAGTTAGTACTGAAAAGCATTCACTGCTTTAAAGATCTTCATCTTTCAGCAGTTAGTAAATACAGCGTGTCTCTTTTGAGGGTCTGTGGTGGCAAGGCCAGGACGTTCCCTTACGATAGTTTGGCTTTTATTTCCTACTGTGCTGTTCAGTCAGAGATTGTCTCTGCAGACAGTGAAGTTGAATGAAACCTCGGTGATGAGTCCGGTCATCTTAATCTGCATCTGCAGTCAACTACACAAGAGAGGGAGCTCTCCAGAGGGCAGTTCAGAATTTGATGGGCTGAAGTGCCCTTGGACGTGCTTATGTCTGTCACAACAAGCAAAACTCCTTCTCTGGGAACAACTAGAAATACCCTCATGAGGGCATATTTCACATCACCTATCCTGTAGGTAATCTGTCAAACTAATCCTAATAGACTCTTCTATACCCTTGCCTACCAATGTTACTTGAACAACTCTAAAAATAAAAAGCCGACATCTCATCCTTCCAGATAGTTTCCACAGTCCTGATGATTATGGCTTGGCTTCCTGTCTCTGGGTTCATACCACCTTGGAAATGAGGAATGAGACAGAAGAAAGTGTCATAGGGGGTTCAGGTCTCCAGTTTTGTGTGGTTTCTGTGGATGATACCTGTAGAGTTGTGCCTGGAGGGCAGCACACTGAGGGAGGGAGGAGCCAGGCCCATTGGGATATGCAGGGACCTTGCTGGAACTGTCTCCAATTCCATGCAAATGGATTAATTTCTTCTACACTTCACATGTGCAAGAAGCTTCCTGCAAAGAAGAATATTTGTATTATTATTCAGCTGCCTTGAGCAATATGCAGATTTGCATTTCATTTGCAAGACCTAGAAACCTACGTAAAGAACTTGTAGTTTGTGGAAATGACTGAAGGAAAGGTCTCCTTTCCCCTAGGGAGAAAATGTGGTGCTTCATGCTGGTACCACTAGACTGTGTCTCTGGTCCTGGAGCTTGGTTGCTTATAGACACGGGTGGAGATGTGTGTTACAGCTCTTCGTCCCCTCTAGTGGATAAAGTTCTATCTACAAGGCTGGTTTTTCTCGGAGTTGGACCTGCAGGAGACCTTGCTTGCAGGAATGAGAGCATCTGAGAAAGGGGGCTGGCGTGAACAGGAGCCCCCCTCCCTGGGCTTCAGATTGGGTGAGCAGGGAGATCTTTGCTACTCTCCTCTCATATGAAGCACTCACCCCCAGGTCCTGAGTCAGACATGACTACTCAGTTTTTATCCAGGCAGAGGTCCCAATGTGGCAGATTTGCAGCCGCCTTTGCCCTCTTTTCTCCAACCGGTAGATCCCCAGTGGCTCTGTGATGCAGGCAAGGGTTCCCCGTGGGCAGCTGCGAAATGCCAACCACCTCGTGCTTAAATAAACAGGGAGGCAAACTGTGAGATAGCTGGGGGGCATTAACAATCATTTAAAAAAAACACTGCAAGAAGCAAAGACCCTAACTCTGCACCTATCCCACTTAAAGAACCTATATAAGTCAGTCATGCTTAAGATATTTCCATCTTTTCCTGTCTCTCTCACTCTCTTTGGCAAAAGACATATGGAATTAATTATGAACAAAGGCCGATTGTTTTAATATTCAGAGTTTCCCACATCAAGCTGCTGGGTTTTTCTTTGAGTGGTTTTAATGCATGTGCATATGCTGAGCAGATACAGAGTTTTGCTTCTTTATTTTAAACGGTTGCTTTAATGGCATGTCCTTAACACCTTCATTCTGGATTTTGGACTTTGATCAAAACAAAGTATTTTTAGTTTTGCATTAAAATGAGAACAATACATGGAGGAAGGTATTGGCTCCACAGCTCAGCAGATTTTGCTCTCCCAGCTAGGCTGCTCCAAGGAAAAGAGTGGGGGCCAACATCTTTTTTACTAAGCAAATTCAAAATACCACTAAGGAGTTTGTGGATCGAGAAGCTCCCACTTGCACCCATTAACTTGAAGCTGCATCTGGACCAGTACCTGTAGCTGAATGAACATGGAAATGAACACAACATCCAAAACACGTTTTTACAAAAGCACAGAATCATACCTGGCTGTTTTGGAACAACTCCTGGTATTGCAGAAAGTCTGTGGGAAGGGAAAGTGATTTTCTCATTTCCAGAACACTTGTGTACAATTTAAAGTGCAAATACAGTTTCAAACTTTTCTTCCAGAGAAAGAATATATCATTGTCCACTAGGCTCTAAGGTGATTTTATAAGAGAAAAAAAAAAAAAAAAGTAGACATTGAGACTGACTTTGTGAAAACTACATAATTAATAATTTTTATAAGTACACATAGAAGCTGTAGACAACACTGAGCAGGCTTTCACTGATACATACGTGTACAGACGTGAGTGTGAGTGGCGATGTCTGCTCTTTGCACTTACCTGTGCACTGCACTGTGCCATACAGACCGCGTAGTCTGAAGCGGCGAGTGCTTGTGTTCAGCTGAGCAGCCCAGAGGGTCCGTTTGAGCTCTCTGCTCTGGGTATGTGCTTTCTAACATCTAGGAGAGAGCAATATCTGAACGTAGGATTTCACATTAATCTCTGCACCAGATGGTGATACACCAGATATTCTTTTTAAGGTGAACATGTGATCTACTGTACAGCAAACCAGAGGGGTCTGCAGTCACATGGCAAAATGTATAATAACTCTGATAGAGCTTTGATTAGACAACTGACCTGGTTACCATCTGTAGCAACAAGAAGCAAGCTTGACATTTTTGGAACATTCTCCCCAGAAGCTTAATTCTTCCACCTCTGTGGCATATCAATCCTGCTGAGCAAACTACACCGAGAAACAGAAGGAAGCTAAAGATACGCTGCTTGAAGCATGTTGTTAAGGTTACAAGGCTTGGGTTTTCCTCCCCCCCCCCCCCCCTTCCTTCTTTCAAACAAGCCACATCTTGACTCATATGGTCTGATGTGAAAACCCACTCAGCTATTTGATAGTTGGGAAATCTAGATGAGACTGTAAGTTATTTCAAAGGAAGCCTGTTTATGCTGTGAACTCTCTTTCACACACACGCACACACACACACGAGTTAGCTCTGCACTATGGTAGTACAGACAGCTGTGACTCCGGGTAGGACCCGAAGACTTTTATTCAAAATACCATATGGATCACTGAGGAGACGCAGTGTGGAAAGGGTAAGCCATGATTTCTTTGTCCTGAATGCATGCCCAGAGGATGAGGAGGGTACCATTTGATAGCAGTTGTCTGCCCCATTAGTAGCCAGAGCTAATAGAGGTTATGTCATGGTGTGTAGAAATTACTACTGGTGTATGCCATGGTGTGTAGAAATTACTATTGGTGGGACATGTGTGGTCATAAATGGGAATTCATACTAGTCAGAGGATGTGTGATAATTTAGGGCAGAAATCAGAGCCAGCGGGAACAAGATTACATGCAGCAATTAAAGCTAGTTAAAGGTGCTCTGATAATACTTGGAGGTAATAATTTCTGAAAAGGATCATTTCTGATAATCAGTAGTGGTTGAGACAGTGTGATGGCATACAGCAGCACTGAGCTGTAGCAGTGGAGAGTAAATAAGTATAATGTCAAATAACGAATACCAGCGGAAAGCTCGGGGTGATGTGAAGCGCTCTGTATATCTGAGCATAGATGCAGATGCCCACTAGTGTCTGTCCCAGCTGAGATGTACAGCAGTGGCTGCACAGTGCGATATGGGCTGTACCGTGCACGATACACCCTCTGGTCAGTGCCAGCCAGTGAGGCACTGTGGGGCTGGCACTCCCTGGCTAGCCAAGGCGATGCTGTTGCTTTCTTGCTGCAGCAGACATAGCAGGGGCTCTCGAGGAAGCTGTAATTCTGTCATTAATTTCCTGGAAGCATGCAGGGGATTGAGGGAAGTCCCATCGCTTTGAAGGACTGACAGGCTGGCAAAGAGGCGGTGGCTGGGACGTGGCTCTCAGCTCAGAGAGTGATGCCAACCTGCGGAGCACACACCAAGCGCACATCCCGTGCTTTGGGCTGCCTTCGCCTGGTGAGCTGCCTCTGCAGAAGCCTGCAGGGTTGGCATGGCTCCCCAGGGGAGGGGAACACCTTGAGCATCCTCTGCTTGTCACTGCTGATATCCCCTGAAATGGTGCTAAACTCAAGGGAATGGGGACCGTCTGCACGCTCCCAGCCACAGTGGGTTTGGGCAGGGTGCCCCAGGGGTGGGTGAGGGGTGCTGCACCCACTGATCCATGGCTGGTGACGTGATGGCACGTGTAGAAGCTCTACAAACCCAAAGCAGCTCCGAGTTGCTCCATGCAAAACTGAGCAAAACCTTTGCTCAAGGCACCTATTTTGCTTCAAAGCAGTTCTGTGGCTGCTGAAGCCACCGGTGAGTTTACTTCGAGTCTGTTGCATGTGTCACTCAAAAAAAAAAAAAAATCTGGTTTTGGACATTTCAAACCAAGTATTTTTTCCAATTTTTCTTTCAAAGAGAGTATAATTTCATTTGGACGAATGCCTTATTTTTTTAAAAGGTATATGAAAAAAACCCTCAAAAATTAAATGCAATTCGAAAACTGTTTCAGTTAAATACAAAGCCTTTCTTTCATTTGTTTTTCTTCCTTCTCCATTTGGCAGAAGGGAAAGCGGAATTACTTTGTGTCAACCTGAAACATATTTTCTTTGCCTTTCCAGTCCGTCAAGCAAACCAAAGATAATCAATTATTCACACAGCTTTGGTCTGCTATTGTTTGATTGTTGTTTGTTGCTTTGGAGCGTGTTCAGAAATGTCCCTCCTGGTAAATTTGGGCTTTGTGGTTCAAGATGTTGGTTCTGAGAGGGGCCCAGGCCAGGCAATCCTGCCTGCAGCCTTAATCAGCCTTGAGGACGGGTTTTATTTCTGTCCCCTGTACAGTGCCCAGCACGACTGTAGCATCAGTCAGGTTTCCCCTCTCTGGAGAAGCACTGCTGTTGTTGACCCCGATCACAGGAGGTGGGTTGGCATTTGGTGGCTTTGCAGCTGCTCTTGGAAATGTAGAAAGGCAGAGAGCCTGGTGTCTCCTTTGAAGGTGTTTTCCCACAAGGTGGCAGATGATTTTTTGACCAGAACAAGCTCTCAGCTGCTGGAGGGCCACCATCTGCCACTGCTCATGGCCACAGTGGGTCCCTCCCCATCTGGAAAGGCTCATGCTTTCATGAAGACCATACCTGATATCAGTGAGCCTAGAGACAAGTCATATAACAGTGTGGAAAATGGGAGACAACTCTCCTCCATGCACACACACATTCCCTTTGGAAAAACACTATCCATACTGACCTACCCAAGCAACAGCTGCCCGAGTCTTTGTTTGCTGTGTGCATTAGTCCATGTAATGGAGAGGTGTATAAAACAGCAGTACTCTCACAAAGTGTTTCCAGGAGGTGGCCACATGGTGGGAAGCAAGGGAGATCGTGGAAATACTGGCAGAAGGTGTTGGAGAAAGTCAGTATTTATATAGGAGGAAAAAATCGATGCATAAGGATGACCAGTGCTTCAGGGGGCTTGACAGTGTGTACTCACTTAACAGCTCCACACGCAGCCCAAGTGACCGGCCACTGTCAGGGGGTTTGTGTTGTTTTATTTTCACTCACATCCACAGTTTATTTCTCTTCTTCCCACTTCTTGACCTAAGGTTGAGGTGGTTTAGGCTTCTTGTAAGGCAAATGCTGGAGCCTTGCTATAAGGTTTGACAGAAGATTTGGTAGGATGGTTTTTGCCACTGGCTTTTTTTTGTCCTAAATTTCTGTCTTTGTCATTAGTCTCTCTGCCTGATCATGAAGCTGCTCCATTGGGCACCTAGCCCATAAGGTTGTGGTCAACCTGGTTGAAGCACACATCATGCTCTCTCTCCTTGGAGCCCCCCACCAGCTAGATGTGACAGGCAGATCCCCTGCACTCGGGGTCCTGAAGTCACACAGAAGCTGTGTTTCTAAGCTCAGAGTTCACAAAATCCCTCGGCAGCAGTGAAAGAGCCTGAAATATGGTCCCTAAAGAGCAAGTTTCACATGTAAAGCCTGAGATGTGAGATCTGTGCAATGCGTGGCATGCACCCAGTAGAAGAGATGGCTTTACAAAGGCTTTTTCAAGTCCAAATAAAAAAGAGAAGAGCTAAACGTTAGTAAGTATGGCACAGACACCACCAAAGAAAAGTGAGCTTTGTGCCATGGGGCACACCAGCAAGCAGTATCAGGACTGAGAGATGAGTTGGGTTCATCTAAGTCAATCCTGAGGTCTATGAGACATCTCCATCCTGGACGGCACCTCTGCCTGCCCTTTGGGATCACTGCAGAGGCAATCAAAATGCTCTTCAGGGGTTGCAGAGGTGGTCCCCTGAACACTCATGTTTGCCTGAATTAATAACTCCATAAACCCCAGCCAGCTCTCCTTTAGCCAGTGTATACGGGGACACCTTGGTCAGAAGAAGACCTCCCCCCACACCAGGAGACATGTATCCCTTCTCTAACACAGTATTTCCCAACACAGAGCCCTCCCCACCAGATCTTACTTCTCTGAGTCTCCTTCCCCACCAGTAAATATGCACGTTAAATATGTAGTCTTTTCTCCCTTTGCATTATTAATGTGAGACAGTTTATGCCTGCGAGCTATCTTTATTATATCCATGTGCTGCGGATGTGTGTGAGAGGAAGATGAATAGAGTCCTACTAATGTCTAACAAATGCCTCGCACCATTCAGAGATCTCTTTCTGTTGTTGCAAGGCACTGGTAAAGAAGAACACATATTTACTCCTCCTCTCAAGACTTCACTGGCTATTTTCCAGCCACGGGAATGTTTCTCACCACAAACACAAGGCATTGTTTTTTTGAGTTAGAAAGCCTAGAGAAAAACATGCAGCTTTCTTGTATTAAAAAAGAAAAAGTCTGCCCTCTCTTCTGCCTTCAAGGCTCAAAGGATGGTACTACAGATGCTGTGTAAAAAGGAAGGCCATCTCCAGACTAAACGAAGTGCTGTAAGAAACAAGCTGGGAGAGATACGGCTGGAAAAGCCATTTTAAATTGGTCTTGAAGTTTGGACCCCAGCTTTAGGTCCCAGCTCTCAGCTATGGTAAATCAAAGGCCCTGGGCCCAATTGTGTCAGTGGCTGCTTGCAGCTCAGCAGGAGTTTAGACTAGATTGCTTTTTTATTTCTTGTGCCTCTGAAGAAGATAAACTAAGATTAAAAATGCAGCCAGAGCTGCAAGCAAGAACTCCACTGTCCATTACACAAGTGTAAATCTACACCGGTGCAGAGCTGGGACTGGTATTTACCTATGACACTTCCTCTCTGAACGAATATCCATGAACACTCATTCATATCATGACTTTAAAACACACCAGGCAGAGATAAATCCGTAAATGGATATTTATTGCCATAGAAAACAGATGGCAGAAGACAAAGCTCCCATGTTCTTATCCCAGGCTTCAAGCACGTTAAGAATGCGGCAGGAAACGTCATTCCTCCTATAAATAAATTTCTCTTGAGAAGAGAGAACCCAGGGATGAAAAAAAAAATCAGTCTTTCTGCTGTTCAGGCCAAGTCTGAGGCAGGTTTTCCCACGCTATGCTGCAGCTTATGGTGACCTTTGCTTTTGGCAAGAGAGGAGGTTGCCTTCAAGAAAACTCAGCAACAGAGTTTGGGTATGTCTTGCTGCTGTAGAAATCTACAAGCACTTTTACTACTCTGAGTTATTGATTTATTTTTTTTTCTACTACACAAAGCATAATTCAGTGTTTGATTTATTGTTAAGAATTTTTCCAGCATGGATTCAAGAGCAAAGTGGTCAGAAACCTCTCACACCGAGGGCTATAGTGTAGCGTCTAACAGGGCGGAACAAGGCAGATCTTTGTGGCATTCATGGTGGAGTGGTCCTCATTTGTTAAACCCTCTGATGCAAGCCCCTGTGAGTGATGCTGCAAGAACTTGCTCTGACACCACGACTGAGTGCTTCAAGGGAAGTTGATCTTTCCAGTTCATGCCATATACTTGCAAACTCTTACTGTGGCATGCAGGTCCTGCAGACCTTTGCTTAGCATCCTCAGTGACATTTTTTGGATGGGCCTCTTACCTTGACAGCATCACTACCAATCTCATAGAAGGCTGAGGTGACAGCAGAGTTACTCAGATGCTGTGGATAACAAAAGAACAGTAGA